GATTGCGAGTCAAGCGCCCTAACCACCTGGTCATGCCATTTTGAATTGACAGACTGGATGAAAGCAGCTAGTCAACAGCATCCACCGCCAATGTTTGGGCTACTCTAATTGAATAGTGCGATTTGATCGTCTCTCTTATAACGCATACAAGCCCCCAAAGCAAGGAGCACGATCTTGCTACGGTGTGAGGCGAACCATGGATCCTCGAAGTCACAGTATGCCATGCTAACCAACAGCTCACGCTCGGCCAAAACAAAAATAAACGGATAGGTTTGTATATTGTATTGAAAAATGAAACGAAAAATGGCCATATTGTTTACGTGGGCTATAAAAAGGTAGTTTTGTTTAACAAAGAAAATAAATAGAGAGATGTGTTCGCATCTATGAGCGGACAAACTAGACGTGATTGCGATGGTAATATATATATACTTAAAATGTAAATGGAAAGTATCATAAAAAAGGAAACTTGTGAATGAAGTTGTTATGTAATCGTAATCATAAAACTACTTGACCATTTATTTCTCAGTACTAAGCAAAAAACCTAAGTTTGTCTGTTGTTAAGCCCAAAGCTACAAATGGGCTATCTGTGCTCTGCCCACCACGAGTATCGAAACCCAGTTTTTAGGGGTGTGAGCCCTCAGAGTTACCGCTTAGCTACTAGGGGACAAAAGTTACATAATGGAGGATGTCAACCTTACCAAAGCAAGAAAAAATTCAGATTTCTTAAAATTGTTTTTAAATTAACAATCAGACAAAACTGGTTAAATAATTAAAAAATGATTTGTAGTTTGTTTTAGAGCAAAGCTACACAATAGGCTATCTGCAATTTGTCTCCCATGGGAATCGATCCCAAAAATTTTGAATCTTATAATCTCTAAGGCTTGCCACTAAGCTATAGGGAGAAGGGGGGGTTTATTCGACGGTGGATTATTTTTTAAGATTATGGAGCATCCAAATAGTTTCTGAAAGCATATGAAAACTTAGCAAGACATGAAGACTTTTTAAAATTAAAGAAACACCTGTATCAATCTTGTGTTTTGCAAATATTGGAAAAAAAGAAACTGATGACTGAAGAAAACGGGAAGAAATATTAAATTCTTGGCTTTTGTTTTGTTTGTAGTTAAGCACAGAGCTACACAATTGGCTATCTGTGCTCTGCCCACCACGGGTATCGAAACCCGGTTTCTAGCGTTGTAAGTCCGCAGACATACCGCTGTGCCACTGGGGGTGGGGCAGGTTCTTGGCTTAATTCAGACTTCTGAACTTGTTGGAGCAGGTGTTATATTAATTGAGAGCTCGAAAGAATAGGAATTGTGACAGCGTCAGAGAATATTTTTGTAATAATATACAGGATTGAGTATTTTATAATAAAACCGTTTTAATATGCGAATAAGCAAGTCAAGTACCGTTCCACCACTACTTTATATCGACTGACCAACATATGGTGGAACGGTATGTATCACAACTACATTTTTACATTGTTGGGAATAACGTAGCCATCGAAAAATATCGCTTTTGGAAAGAGTGCGGAAAAACTCTTTCAGACGCATAATATTCATACATTCAGGTCATAAAAAAATGGTTAGATTGGAGATTTAGAAATTCTAAAACGGAGGAATATGGATCAGCTTGAGACTACAGGACCATCTAAAAAGAGTCCTGCAAAAAATCGTACACCAGCTGTGGGCGTCTTGTAACAGGTGAGAACCCACAAACATAGAGGTCAATAGTTGCTTTCACGACATATCATTTCAACCATCGCCTATCTAAAGCAGCCCGAGAATGAAACGTGTATTCATTCTATTCCATATGAACAGTTGCTAGGGAAATTGGCTATGTATATTTATTTCTGTACGATGGAGCCGTTGAAACGGGTTCTGGGAAACTGTTGTCCTCACAGACCAGAAGTAATTTAGAAAACAAGGAAGGGGGGAGGAATCCGATTTGAATATGGTAGAATTTACGACAGAGCTTTTAGGAATGGAAACTACGCTGCAAGGCTGTTGTCAAGGGGCACAATCGTCAGATGTAGCATGACCGAATGTGGTGACATGGACTATAACAACGTATTTTTGTAACGTGTTTTTGTATAACGCGCTCAATCTCTGAATTAGTGCTTGGCGATTTCCCCCAAAAATTGAAGTTATGATATGGTACTTATTGATGAAAGATGATATAAGTATAATTAGTAACCACCGAAGCATTGCTTTCTTGAAACAAATACAAGATGTTTACCAAAATCATAAATAAGAGAAGACGCTATCACCCATCAATTATTATTTTATAAATTGAAATTTATAGTTTATATTACACAATTTAAAAATATTTCATTGTATTTGGTATTTTCAACCTTAAGCTGCAACACAGGGGCTAATGACGAAGCTAGGAATCTGAAGGTCCAGGCATAGTCATTACTGCTTTAGAACTGCTGACCAAAGGAAAGGCAACCAATCAGAAGTACCTGCCGCCGGTGCATTTACTCTTAACTGAATAATGAGATTACTCGGTACCTTTATAATGCGCTCACAACTGAAAGTGCTCAACGTGTACAGTGGCAAATCGCAGCTCGAACCTCGAACTTTCTGATATGCAGCCAAAAAGGGCAACCACTAGTTCAAGCTTGGCTCATTATGTTATAGAACAAGTATTCCACAATAAAGTAATATGTAAAAATACAGGAGGAGTAACCAGTTTTATGTAATATACGCGATGTCTGGAAAGTATGTCAACATTTTTATTTACATGCATATATCAATGTTTGGAAACTTCTTTTGAATCCGCGTGTGATGTTGCTCTTATATTGCATGCGTGCTGCGATGTACCTCTGTTGATGTAAAGGAATTCTAATAGCCATTGTAGCAACATTTCTAGGTTCCTGTCTTTCAAACAATACTATTAACATGATTTTCAGATACCGACCACGTGAATGGTACCTCTGTTGATGTAAAGGAATTCTAATAGCCATTGTAGCAACATTTCTAGGTTCCTGTCTTTCAAACAATACTATTAACATGATTTTCAGATACCGACCACGTGAATGGATTTATGGACGGGTTTGGTAAAAACTGTGAAGACTTATCTATCACTATATTAGATGACAGTGTTAGCTTATTGTGCTGTGCTCGAGTTATTGTTTGTTGTCAAACACAACGGGGGGGGGGTGCTTATTATATCAGGCCAAATGCAACACATATTAAACGTGTGTGAGTATTTTGTGATAGTTAGAAGAGAGGAAAATGTTAATGTTGTGTTTCAAATGACAGCAAATATAGACTCTGAATTTTTTATGAGAACATATATTTGAGCCATATCCATTACTTCACAATCTACTTATATTGTGAAGTAATGAATAAGTAGATTGTGAAGTAATGGATAAGTAGATTGTGAAGTAATGAATAAGTAGATTGTGAAGTAATGGATATTGTGAAGTAATGGATAAGTAGATTGTGAAGTAATGAATAAGTAGATTGTGAAGTAATGGATAAGTAGATTGTGAAGTAATGGATAAGTAGATTGTGAAGTAATGAATAAGTAGACTGTGAAGTAATGGATAAGTAGATTGTGAAGTAATGGATAAGTATATTGTGAAGTAATGAATAAGTATATTGTGAAGTAATGAATAAGTAGATTGTGAAGTAATGGATAAGTATATTGTGAAGTAATGGATAAGTAGATTGTGAAGTAATGGATAAGTAGATTGTGAAGTAATGAATAAGTAATTGTGAAGTAATGGATAAGTACTACTTATTCATTACTTCACAATATACTTATCCATTACTTCACAATATACTTATCCATTACTTCACAGTCTACTTATCCATTACTTCACAATCTACTTATCCGTCGGCCGCGTGTGGCTTAATGATTAACATTCCGAGACAGGGAAAAGGATCAAGATCACAATAATATCGATGAACATGTTCTGCATTTTGAACTGTGAGTGCATTATAGATGCGTCAGTTAATCCCTATGTTCAGTTAAGAGAAGCCGTGTATGCGGCAGGTACTACTGACCGACTCCATCCCTCTGGTCAGTATATAGTCCTGAGTGACTGCGTCCGAAACCCTATGTTTCTGACTTGGTCGTTTAACTTGTAAGGTGCCTCCCACACAGGTTGAAAATATCTTATTATGTTTTATCAATGCTTTTTGCCACATCAGATTTTAAAATTTTATTTCAAAATGCAAACACATGAATATCAACACGAGCTCCGTAACAACTTTTTATAAGCAATAATTAGATATATTGGTACATTGTATGTCGTTTGAATGCTAAGAGAGAGAGAGAGAATAATTATTCTTAGTTTAGTCGAAAAGCTCCTCTAATATAAGAGTTTATCTTAAATGATTTTTATGCATATTTTAAACATTATTGCAACTAGGCCTTATTTATGTTTTGCAAATGCATAAAAAGTATGAAAAGTGAAATCAAATAAAAACGCATATTTGCTCATGTTCAAACTTTAAAAGTTCGTTATTACATTGACTGAAGAAACATAAATCTAATCAACAGAAGGATGTAATAAAATATTAGTAGGTTACGATCATAAGTACGTGTGTATGTATGGTGGTTGGCTGGTGATGTTAGTAAAACGATTTTGCAAGATTTACTTATAAATGAAGTAATCTCGCGCATTCACTCATATTGTTATTTTGTACTATAATTTAAAATTTATTTTACTGTAACTTAAATTAAAATACTGTAATTTAAGTTTCCAATATTTTTAAAAGAATTAAAATAAAATTATGCTTAAAAAGTCCAAATTCAGCTAAGTTTCCTACGTCTATGTTTTAGAATAAACTAGAAAATTGGTCTTAAGCCTTTTCCAATTCTTCATTAGAAGATATTGTATTTCACCTTATATGTAACTGAGAACAAATGCCGTATTTCCTATAGAACTGTTGTCTAATTAGAGATAATTCATTTTCATACATTTCTGGACCACCTGCTGATGTATCATTTAAAACGTGTTCCACACTGTGTACACGTCTTTAAGTTTACTCCCTGTGTGCCATGTAACTTAAGCTATGATTTCGATGTTTTAATTTTGATATTAGCTAAAGGGTGCATGAGGGTCAATCAGCCAGTGAAGTATTTATTAAGTAGTGATTAACAATTCAGTGAATGAAACTGGGTAATTATTGATCGAGAGAAGATTGATCAAGCAAAGTTAATCAGTAAGTTAGTTAGGCTTGTTATCAATCGAGTAACTCTCCGTTGAAAGAGAGAGAAAAGATGTGAACTAGGCCTACAACTGTGTGCAAGTGATAACAGCCTGTAGCAAACACTAAGGAAAAATAAAGTCATTTGTTATCGTTACGTGAACTGCACTTGATATTATTCTTATAATCTAATAGTGCCAGCCCAACAATAGGACACACTACAACACTGGCGTCAAAAGTGGGATTATTTTGGTGAAAATAAACTGGAACATTGAATAAATTTCAAATTTCTAAATGACCTCATAGCAATATCAGATTTAAATATATATTCGACTGACAGTTCTTGTGCAAAGATATAATAAAATAATGAGTTGACGACTCCAACGTTTCAGCTTTTTATTGTTTTTAACTTTATACAATAAATTAATGTGCATTTTAAAACGTTGGAGCTGTTAACTTATTATTTTATTAGATATAAGACTTTCTGGAATTAAGGAAGAAGTTAAAAGAAAGTCAAGAAAAGAGAGAGACAGAAAATTAAAAGAAGGTCAAGAGGTAAAAGACCGGAATTTAAAAGAAGAATTGGAAGAAAGAGACGTACTATTTGACAAAGAATTAAGAACAAATATGAATATAATTGAAGAAAAGATCCACGAAGATATTAGAGAAGTAAAGAGGGATTATAACAACAAGATTAAAGAAGCACACGAAAGCTGAAATGACAAAGTAAAGAAAAATTATAAGAGCAAGATCAATGAGGTAGAAAAGAACACCAATAAAAGAATAATACTTTAAAAACTAGCTAGGTTTAAGTATTAAACCAGCAACATCTCTTTCTACATTCAACCATGAATTTCAATATAAAATACCATTTACTACTGAATATCGAATAGAAGAACCTATTTTGCTTTCACCTATTATCACTACTGCCGTGTCATCTATTACTGCAGAACCTTCCTGGTCTAATCCAGCCATGTTTCTACTAAATCTAGTTCTAGAATTTAACTGGCCAATTCAACAACATTGCCTGATTGAGAAATCAACGGACTGTATTGGAAAGGTACCATAGGATGCATATTAGGCTCAGTTCAAAATCATTTCCAAAGTGAACAGATGATATAGTGATCAACAGGTTATTCATCTTGCTACCCATTTAAAAAGACGAACTTTAACAACATTAAGCAACCTTTCAACTAACAGTAAAAAAACTATCAAGCATTGGTGGCTGATTTATTTAGCATATATGGAATCACACATCGGAAAGAAGTATCTAAAGCAAAGTTACAGAACAGAGTACTGAGGACAGAAAAGACTTTAGCCAAATCTGTGAAATATTTGGAAAGATTCAACAAATCATTTTGCCCAGATGCTCCACGTGAAATGATGGATTTGTTGGAACTGACCAATTTACAGATTCCATTACCGACAAGTATGTGAGAATTAGGTTGAAGCAAAGGAGATGTTCTTCTTTAAATGAAGTTCTCCACTTGGTGCTAGAACTTGAATCCGTTAAAGCTGGAGATGAAGTACTAATGGAGCACCATTTAGAAGTTATAGGAATATCAGATCTTGTGTTATTGAAACATAACCTCTCCCTATCAATGGTCTAGAAGAAATGAAAAAAAATATGGTCTGGCAACGGAATAGAGGAAATAAACCAAAAGACAATAGATGTTTCGGGTGTAACTTGAAAGGACATACTTAGAGGTGCTGCAAACAAAAGCCTGTATTAAGTAGCAACTTCTCCTAAAGGATACTAGAAAAAAGGGAAGTTTTATAATTATTGGAAATATGGCCATTACAGCCTATAACATAAGGAATCAACCGTTGTTATTTAGCCAAGAAGATAGAGCCCACCTACATCAAAGGAACAACAAAACATTAAAATGACAGGAATACAGCTGGGAATACAACATCCACCCAAAATGAGATAAGAAGTTCATTATTTGAGAAACATCGTCTACGAGTCCATGAATTTATTGATGAAAAACTCTTGTAGCGTGTTGATCGACACTGATTCCTCAGCTGTAATGGTTAGACACAATTTGATAATGAAAGGTGGGATATTGCTTCCAGAGATGAAGAAAGACGAGGGAGTGATGCAAGTAGACATAAAGTTCTGGTAAGAAGAAATTTATAAGTTACTCTTAAAGTAGGAAGCTTTTCTACATCTCATGATGTGTAGGTAATTAACATCGAGGAAGAATAGAGTGCGCATTGGGGACTGACTTCATGCAAAGATACGGATGAGAGGCTCGACTAATTTCAAATAGCTTCGTAGTCAATGACCAGGAAATCTCCCTGCTCTAAATAACAATTTCTACAGCAGAGGTTTAACTTTCAGTGACAATAGTGACGATGGTCATTGTACAGAATAGAAGTGAAATGCTCATACCAGGAGTTACTAGTAATAAATCTACATCTAGAAATAGGAGCGTAATGGATCCAAGCACTTCAGCATATCCTGAGGGATTGATGATTGGAAAAACTCTCGTGGATATGAAGAATAAAGATGTCATAGATGAATTTACTCAGAAAAAGTTTTAATCAGTTTATGACAAAATGAAGTCACTATGAAGTTAATGTTGATATGACTGGATTTCTTCAAGTTGACATGGTATGGCTGAACAATTCCCATCACAAGGAAGGATTGACTCCAAAGTTTGATAAATATTAGGAAGTATCATACGTTATAAGGAAAAGAATCAATGATGTTATTTACAGAATCCAGAGAGACAGGTAATTCATGCCAAAAGTCATTCTCCGTGATCGTCTTTGAAAGTTCGTCGGTGAGAGAATGACCAATTTGGTAGCTCCAGAAAATAATTTATCAGTGGAAAGTCAACCTGCTGAGGAGCTCAGATGCCACTTCCAAAGGTTCAATAAGGATTGGGGTACAAGTGAATTTGCTCAACCACTTACCTAGGAAAAGTTTCCCCAGTGAAACGATAGCCAGCGACGATAAGGAAAAAAGAGGTCATCCCATCTGCATACCATGGCTTTTCGAAAAGAAAACTACCTAAAAAAACTTGGTTAATGGACAGTTTAGTGTTATGGTTTACTTTTTTATATTAGGACTGTTCAAGGAACTTCATAGTCCAGGAATGGAACAGGGTTGTAACCTATATTTTAATATAAATGTTTGCTGGAAGGTGCATGAGTTTAATATATAGTAAGTTCGACTAAGATCTATATGGATAGGCACATTAGTTATAAATACAAGTAAACAGTTTGTAGAGAGCCAGTCAGTCAGTGAAGTATTTACTGAGTTGTGACTGAGAATTCAGTGAATGAAACTGATTAATTATTGATCAAGAGAAGATTGATCGAGCAAAGTTAATCAATAAGTTGGGTTTGGTATCAATCGGGTGAAGGTCTGTTGAAAGTGAAAAGGTGTTTGTGAACTTAGGTCTACAACTGTATTCAAGTGTTAATAGCATGTAGAAATACATAAAATAATTTGTTTATTGTTGCGTGAATTGAACTTATTTTTATCAAATAATCTAGCGATAGAACATGTTACAACACATGTAATGTAATGGAAAATCTTGCTAGACCTTTTGCTTATTTAAAACCTCCACGCGACAAAATAAGAATACTGATTTTGGCAGAGCGGAGCAAGGCGATACGCCGTGTTCTCAAGTTTACGTTCTCATTTGACACCATAATAACTGTCTACAATGTTACCACCAACCTGCATCATCTCTATATCTTATATAACGTATATGGGCACTGTGGCCTGAATAATTTGAGCAAAACTACAGTTAACTAAACTGAGTTTCTTCTTTCTGTGAGATCCGTGTAGGAGCCTTAGTTCCCACACACAACAGAACAGATAGTTAGAAACGAGGTCACAGGTGAAGATTCTGACAACAAGTTATGATTGTTCTCCAAGAACGAAGTTCCTGGGATTAAAAGACAGCTTTACATATTCCATTTTCAGTGGCCTTGTTTCCAAGGTCGTTGCTACAAGACTACCTGGCTAGGGATTTATTAACGTAACGTCATCAACTCTCTCCTCCCTTACAGACAGGAAACCCCTCAGGGAGAAATTCAAGGATATAATCTTTATCATCATTGTCTACAGAAAGTGAAAAGTGTATTCGAAAAAAATGAAAAAAGGGTGAAAACATTTCAGGCTCATGTGATTAACCAAGGACTTTTGTTAGCAGGTGGCAACTGGATATTCGTTAAAAAAAAGAGTGAGAGAACAGTCACTCTCTGTTACTTAGTTGTGAAATAGAGTACACAATTTTAGTAACAATAATAAAAACGGCAACATCATTCCATTAGAAGAATAGGCCGGACCTGGTCTAGTGGTTGGTGTGACTGGACTGTGAATCCTGAGGTTCATCCCGTTGTCGCAAAAATTCATTTAGCAAGTTGGAGCCGTTTGTGCACTATAAGTATGAAAGTTGAATCCAACTATTCAGTCAGGCAAAAGCTATTGATTAGGGGCCCGGCATGGCCAGGTGGTTAGGGAGCTCGACTCGCAATCTGCTGGTATCGGGTTCGAATCCCCGTCGCACCAAACATGCTCGCCTTTTCAGCCGTGGGTGCGTTATAATGTGACAATCAATCCCACTATTCGTTGGTAAAAGAGTAGCCCAAGAGTTGGCGGTGGGTGGTGAAGACTAGCTGC